GTCAAGGATCTAAGCCTGAAGAGTTTTCTGGATAACTCCGTGTATACTGCTAAAGAGACTCTGCCTGTTTAAAACTCATGGATATGTGTGTGTGTGTGTGTGTGTGTGTGTGTGTGTGTGTGTATGCTTGAGGGGGAATCGAAGGTTACAGTCTGTGTGAAATAAACACAAGCTGCTTTAACATGGTTCAGGTAGCGTTGATTCATCAACTAAACAAGTGGGAGGGAAACAGCAATGAAAAAAATTACTGTAGGAATACTTGAAAAATAAACAGAACCAAAACTTTATTATCATCATCATCATCTCCAAGAGCTTTTGGTATATTTTGTTTTCATATCTTATCAATTTCTGTCACATAGTATTTATAAATGAGAATTTAGTTTGTATGTAATATGAAAGGTTCAATTTTAGAAACAATCTCAGTGTATTCTTGTGAATTTAAAAATAGGAATTGAGTTATTATGAACCTGGTCAGCACGATCAGCCATCACTCAAGGTCAATCCAGTTGAAACAACCACTGTTATACACATATATCTTAAATTTTTGTTATATTAAACTAATTGTAAAAAAGCCATTCTAATTTAATATTGCAAATGGAAAATAAAGAAGGGCTTCAAAATTATTTTATTGGCATTTCAGTTGAACATAATCTGCTCTGTGAAATGTGTTTCTGATTTATCCACTAATGTCTCTTTTAATAAAGCAGTGGGAACTAACTGGTTCCTTCTTAATCAAAACCATGATTTCCTAAACATAAGCTATGAGATTCTGTTACAAGTTGCCACATATAGATCTCTTTGGTCAATCCTTTCCCCTCCCGTTCTGTTGAGCTAAACAAACAGTAAAATAATTATACATACTGAAAGATCAAAGTAAATATGACTAATGCATAGCAAAATTTTTAAAAACTTTCTGAAAGAAAAAAAAGCATTAGGTTGCAGAACATATACTTAATGTTTAAACAAATATGAGAAACTGAACAATCAATAATTTGATATCATTAGCAACAGATGTAAAAGTTATATGCAAGGAGGACTTGAAATAAACATGCTCATGGTATAGTTGTGGAATCCATTACAAATTCAACATTGCTATTAGGCTTAGCTCACATCAACTTTTGTCTTTATATCAATCAGGCTTTCTTTTTGTAGATTGGTGAGATCCACATCTATTGACATACAAGGTTCTGAAAAATTGTTTGATTGCAGTTGTCCATTAAAACTGATATTAGAAAAAAATCATACAGACTATATGGTGTTTGGCATTACTTGCTCCCTCACAGGAATTGTTCTCAGTTGTAACCCTCCTATCTTTTTACTTTCCTCTGCCCTTTCATAATTGGTTTTTGAAGTTTTATATCGTACACTTAGAAGGAAAGTTTATTTTAGCAATCCCTAGAAATTTGTAAATAATAAATAATAATTATGAATAATAAAAATAGTAAGGATAACAGCAGTGAGATTCTTTGCTATATGTATCTTATGCAAGGCAGAAGAGTATATATAGAAAAAATTAAATATGCAGTCTTGCTCATGTAGGCTTTTATTCATAATATAGACTGATTTTACCATAAACCAATTGAAATTGCACCTATCGGGGTGAAATCAATACCGGGCATTAATATTTGCTCTGTAAATTGCTTGTATGAGGTATGCCATAATTTTTCTGCTACCATGTATGAATATAGGAAATTCAGGAAAATATTGCTTTATTTTAAAATGTAGCTGATCAAATTTAGTAACATAGTCCCCAGTTTAAGAACAAGTTCTGTTCCCAAAGTGTGTCCTTAAGTCGAATTTGCATGTAAGCCAGAACACTATTATTGTATAATACTGTATAAGTAGTATTATGTAATTAACTCGAACCATTGTGTAATTAACTCGAATAATTGTGTATTTAACTTGAATTTTGCTTACAGTAGGCTCCATTCTTAACTATGAGTTGTCCTTAAACTGGACATTCTTAACCCAGGGACTATCTGTATGTCACTGAGGTATATTCTTCACCATCCAGTATTTTAATTAATCTGACAGGCACTCGAATGGCTAAGTGTGAATGGTGAAAAGTTTAAATGCTATGAATTCATATTCATGCTGACACCTTCTATAATTGTTTTACCATATATAGTATCATAAAATATTTGCATCAGTTTTTGTTTCCTTTGTTTTGCCTTTATTTAGTAAAACAGTAAAAAAATTAACTAGTGAAAGAGAAAAGAAGAAAAACAATGCAATCACCACCAAAATTATATATAAGGACATCTTATACATGTAAATAAGTATATACATTTTATAGACAATATTTTCTATAAAGGATGACCATATTTCATTGTACTCATCCACATAATCCAAGTCTGTAAGTGATTCATTCTGAAGTCTCAAGCAACATCAGTTTTCTGTGTCTGTATTTTGTAAACTTAGAAAGCTTATATAACTGAGGTCCATTGCTCATTGTGGAGGAAGCATATAATAGTCAGGGCTTACCTGGTGTAGGCTGCAAAATGCCAGATGACCACTAGATGGCAGCAAAGAGCTTTCTGTGTCACTTTGGTGCTATCTAGTGGTTGTCTGGATTTTTGAAGCAAAGATCTGATAGACCTAATATTTCTAATTGTGACCAGTTTATAATGTATTCAGTAAGCTATATTCAACACCGTGAAATGGAGCTTATGCCATCCTTATCCCTTTGAGATCCCTTATCCCTTATCCCTTTGGGATATGTGAAAAAGAAAGGAAAATCCATTCTACCAGTGTTTATTTTAGCAAACAGATGGGTTTAAATACAATCCATAGACTCACAGAATCACAGGGTTGGAAAGGACCTTGGAAGTCTTCTAGTATAACCCTCTGCCCAAGGCAGGAGTCCTCATACCATCTTGGACAAATGGTTGCCCAATCTTTTCTTGAAAACCTCCAGCAATGGAGCACCCAGCACTCCAGGAGGCAAGCTGTTCCACTGCTTAATAGTTCTCACTGTCAGGAAATTCCTCCTTATTTCCAGGTCAGATCTCCCTCTGATGAACTTCTACCCATTGCTTCTTCTCCTACCCTCAGATGCTATGGAGAATAAATCAACACCCTGTTCCCTGTGGTAGCCCTTCAAATATTGGAAGGCTGCTATCATGTCTCCCCTTTTCTTCATTAAGCTAAACATACTGTACCTAGTTCCTTTAGCTATTCTTTATAGGATTTAGCCTCCAGACCCCTTAGCATCTTTTTTGTATTGTGGTGACCAGAACTGGATGCAATATTCCAAATGTGGACTCACTAGTGCAGCGTAGAGCAGTACTATCCCTTCCCTTGATCTTGATACTATCCCTCTGTTGATGCAGCCCAGGATTGCATTGGCTTTTTTGGCAGCTGCAGCACACTGCTGAT